TCTTTTTTGAAGAAAAAATTTTCGAAAAATTTTCATGATTTTCCTAAGCCTATAGCCTTACTTTTTCATCAAAAATTGACCACTTTAGAAAGTCATTATTTTTTAACAAAAACGACTTCTATTCCCAAACTAAGTTGAATTTCTGTTCTTTATGATCATGCTGAAGCATATAAACCTCTTTTTGCAGAAAAAATTTTCGAAAAATTTTCATGATTTTCCTAAGCCCATGGCCTTACTTTTTTATCAAAAATTGAACGCTCTAAAAAGTCATTATTTTTTAACAAAAACAACCGTTGTTCCCAAACTAAGTTCAATTTCTGTTCTTTATGAACATCCTGAAGCATATAAACGTCTTTTTGAAGTAAAAATTTTCGGAAAATTTTCATGATTTTCCTAAGCCTATAGCCTTACTTTTTCATCAAAAATTGACCACTCTAGAAAGTCGTTATTTTTTAACAAAAACGACTTCTATTCCCAAACTTAGTTCAATTTCTATTCTTTTTGATCTTGCTGAAACATATAAACCTCTTTTTTGAAGAAACAATTTTCGAAAAATTTTCATGATTTTCCTAAGCCTATAGCCTTACTTTTTTATCAAAAATTGACCAATTTAGAAAGTCATTATTTTTTAACAATAACGACTTCTATTCCCAAACTAAGTTCAATTTCTATTCTTTATGATCATGCTGAAGCATATAAACCTCTTTTTGAAGAAAAAATTTTCGGAAAATTTTCATGATTTTCCTAAGCCTATAGCCTTACTTTTTCATCAAAAATTGACCACTTTAGAAAGTCGTCATTTTTTAACGAAAACGACTTCTATTCCCAAACTAAGATCAATTCCTATTCTTTATGATCATGCTGAAGCATATAAACCTTTTTTTTGAAGAAAAAATTTTCGAAAAATTTTCATGATTTTCCTAAGCCTATAGCCTTACTTTTTTATCAAAAATTGACCAATTTAGAAAGTCATTATTTTTTAACAATAACGACTTCTATTCCCAAACTAAGTTGAACTTCTATTCTTTATGATCATGCTGAAGCATATAAACCTCTTTTTGAAGAAAAAATTTTCGGAAAATTTTCATGATTTTCCTAAGCCTATAGCCTTACTTTTTTATCAAAAATTGACCAATCTAGAAATTCGTCATTTTTTAACGAAAACGACTTCTATTCCCAAACTAATTTCAATTTCTCTTCTTAATGATCATGCTGAAGCATATAAACCTCTTATTTGAAGAAAAAATTTTCGAAAAATTTTCATGATTTTCCTAAGCCTATAGCTTTACTTTTTATCAAAAATTGAACTCTCTAAAAAGTCGTTATTTTTTTACAAAAACAAATGTTGTTCCCAAACTAAGTTCAATTTCTGTTCTTTATGAACATCCTGAAGCATATAAACGTCTTTTTGAAGTAAAAATTTTCGAAAAATTTTCATGATTTTCCTAAGCCTATAGCCTTACTTTTTCATCAAAAATTGACCACTTTAGAAAGTCATTATTTTTTAACAAAAACGACTTCTATTCCCAAACTAAGTTCAATTTCTATTCTTTATGATCATGCTGAAGCATATAAACCTCTTTTAGCAGAAAAAATTTTCGAAAAATTTTCATGATTTTCCTAAGCCCATGGCTTTACTTTTTTATCAAAAATTGAACGCTCTAAAAAGTCATTATTTTTTAACAAAAACAACCGTTGTTCCCAAACTAAGTTCAATTTCTGTTCTTTATGAACATCCTGAAGCATATAAACGTCTTTTTGAAGTAAAAATTTTCCAAAAATTTTCATGATTTTCCTAAGCCTATAGCCTTACTTTTTCATCAAAAATTGACCACTCTAGAAAGTCGTTATTTTTTAACAAAAACGACTTCTATTCCCAAACTTAGTTCAATTTCTATTCTTTTTGATCTTGCTGAAACATATAAACCTCTTTTTTGAAGAAAAAATTTTCGAAAAATTTTCATGATTTTCCTAAGCCTATAGCCTTACTTTTTTATCAAAAATTGACCAATTTAGAAAGTCATTATTTTTTAACAATAACGACTTCTATTCCCAAACTAAGTTCAATTTCTATTCTTTATGATCATGCTGAAGCATATAAACCTCTTTTTGAAGAAAAAATTTTCGGAAAATTTTCATGATTTTCCTAAGCCTATAGCCTTACTTTTTCATCAAAAATTGACCACTTTAGAAAGTCGTCATTTTCTAACGAAAACGACTTCTATTCCCAAACTAAGATCAATTCCTATTCTTTATGATCATGTTGAAGCATATAAACCTTTTTTTTGAAGAAAAAATTTTCGAAAAATTTTCATGATTTTCCTAAGCCTATAGCCTTACTTTTTTATCAAAAATTGACCAATTTAGAAAGTCATTATTTTTTAACAATAACGACTTCTATTCCCAAACTAAGTTGAACTTCTATTCTTTATGATCATGCTGAAGCATATAAACCTCTTTTTGAAGAAAAAATTTTCGGAAAATTTTCATGATTTTCCTAAGCCTATAGCCTTACTTTTTTATCAAAAATTGACCAATCTAGAAATTCGTCATTTTTTAACGAAAACGACTTCTATTCCCAAACTAATTTCAATTTCTCTTCTTAATGATCATGCTGAAGCATATAAACCTCTTATTTGAAGAAAAAATTTTCGAAAAATTTTCATGATTTTCCTAAGCCTATAGCTTTACTTTTTATCAAAAATTGAACTCTCTAAAAAGTCGTTATTTTTTTACAAAAACAAATGTTGTTCCCAAACTAAGTTCAATTTCTGTTCTTTATGAACATCCTGAAGCATATAAACGTCTTTTTGAAGTAAAAATTTTCGAAAAATTTTCATGATTTTCCTAAGCCTATAGCTTTCCTTTTTTAATCAAAAACTGACCACTCTAGAAAGTCGATATTTTTTAACAAAAACAAATGTTGTTTCCAAACTAAGTTCAATGTCTGTTCTTTATGATCATGCTGAAGCATATAAACCTGTTTTTTGAAGAAAAAATTTTCGAAAAATTTTCATGATTTTCCTAAGCCTATAGCCTTACTTTTTTATCAAAAACTGACCACTCTAGAAAGTCGATATTTTTTAACAAAAACAAATGTTTTTCCCAAACTAAGTTCAATTTCCGTTCTTTATGATTATGCTGAAGCATATAAACGTCTTTTTTCAAGTAAAAATTTTCGAAAAATTTTCGATGATTTTCTTAAGCCTTTGGCCTTATTTTTTGATCAAAAATTGACCACTCTAGAAAGTCGTTATTTTGAAACAAAAACGACTTCTATTCCGAAACTTAGTTCAATTTCTATTCTTTATGATCATGCTGAAAGATATAAACCTCTTTTTTGAAGAAAAAATTTTCGAAAAATTTTCATGATTTTTCTAAGCCTATAGCCTTACTTTTTTATCAAAAATTGACCACTTTAGAAAGTCATTATTTTTTAAGAAAAACGACTTCTTTTCCCAAACTAAGTTCAATTTCTCTTCTTAATGATCATGCTGAAGCATATAAACCTCTTATTTGAAGAAAAAATTTTCGAAAAATTTTCATGATTTTCCTAAGCCTATAGCCTTACTTTTTATCAAAAATTGAACTCTCTAAAAAGTCGTTATTTTTTTACAAAAACAAATGTTGTTCCCAAACTAAGTTCAATTTCTGTTCTTTATGAACATCCTGAAGCATATAAACGTCTTTTTGAAGTAAAAATTTTCGAAAAATTTTCATGATTTTCCTAAGCCTATAGCTTTCCTTTTTTAATCAAAAACTGACCACTCTAGAAAGTCGATATTTTTTAACAAAAACAAATGTTGTTTCCAAACTAAGTTCAATTTCTGTTCTTTATGATCATGCTGAAGCATATAAACCTGTTTTTTGAAGAAAAAATTTTCGAAAAATTTTCATGATTTTCCTAAGCCTATAGCCTTACTTTTCTATCAAAAACTGACCACTCTAGAAAGTCGATATTTTTTAACAAAAACAAATGTTTTTCCCAAACTAAGTTCAATTTCCGTTCTTTATGATTATGCTGAAGCATATAAACGTCTTTTTTCAAGTAAAAATTTTCGAAAAATTTTCGATGATTTTCTTAAGTCTTTGGCCTTATTTTTTGATCAAAAATTGACCACTCTAGAAAGTCGTTATTTTGAAACAAAAACGACTTCTATTCCGACACTTAGTTCAATTTCTGTTCTTTATGATCATGCTGAAGCATATAAACTTGTTTTTTAATTAAAAAGTTCCGAAAAATATTCATGATTTTTCTAAGCCTATAGTCTTACTTTTTAATCAAAAATCAACCAATCTAAAAAGGCGTTGTTTTCTCCAGAAAAAACGACTAACGTTTTCAAACCAAGTTCAATTTATTTTCTTTGTGATTATGCTGGAGGATTGCAGATCATGCACAAAACTGTTATTATAAGAAAGATTTTTTGAAAGTTTCAATGATTTTTCAAAGCCGGCAAATCATTTTTCTAAGCCGGCAAGTTTACTTTTTGTCAGTAGTCGGCAAATCTAAAATGTCGTTTTATCTTTAGACTAAATTGCCTACATATTTCAACAGCAAATATTACGAAAAGTTTTTCCCACGAAAAGCCTAATGAAAGTCATTTTAAAGACTCCAAAGCAAGAGAAGCAGGTGATAAGAATCAAATTGAATATGAAACTAAATACATCTTAGTATTTTTTAAAAATTTTTATTCTACATTCGACACGCTTTGTATGCAAATTCTCTTCCCAAAAGATCGGTTTTAACAGTGAAATTGCTTCGAAACTTTTCAACTTCTTTTTGGTCGAAAAGATAGTCTTAAAGGTAAAAAAAAACCAATACTGCAAAAAGATATTATCTGGAGGCGTTTTCATTTTGATTGTCTGCTTTAAAAAGCTGATTAAATGCCATTCCAACTCATCAAGTTTGGCGAGAACCTGCGTTGTTCAGTTTTCAAAATAAATTCTTGTTATCGACAGTTAATTCGGTAAAGAAGATTTAAGAATAAAATTATTCAATATTAAGCTTTGCATAGAAGTCTGGATTCAAATCACAAACTTTTCTCTACAATTGCAATTTTCTAAATTACCAAAGTAGCAATAACTTTTATTAGAAGTCTAAATTCTATATTACTTGCTACAAAGTTTTACAATTACCAGGGCATTTACTTTGATCATAGCGTGTTTGATCAACTTTAATCAAGTTACTTTTTGCAAATGCTGGTATTGTAAAGTAGTTTTTGTCATGTACGCCAGTGTTAGTCCACCCATACCAACTGGCGTGGTCCTTTAACCCCTGTGACTAGGCCAACCAATTCCATTTTCTTTCCATCAATTATTGCGATTTTATTTGCAACAGTTGCTGGCGTTCCTATGTACCGGCTCTTCAAATTACACCCTACCGATATCGGTCTTCTAACATGCTCGAAAAACATTCTTTCAACATACCTCTGAAACTTTTCTTCACTGAAAGGTTGTTGGCTTTTTGCAAGCATCAGTTTGTAATACTTCATGTATATGGCTCGATTCTTTTGTATTCTTTCCTCTGATATTTTTGCAAACTGGCCAACCCCTCCGATAGTGCTAAGAAAAAAGTTACGTAAACACTTTTTAAAAGTAATTCGGTACTTTGGGTTCCGTTCTCTTACTTTACCCAGCCCACCTGCTCCTATTTGAGTCTTTTTAATTCGAAAGCAGGACCCTCTGAGAACGGGGCCTAAAAGTTAGAATGCAGTTATCGATTACGATCATTATTCTTATAATTATCATCCCCAAACCTTAATGCAATTATAACATATTTTGCAGTGAAAATAAAACAAGTGCACACAAAGGAAATGCTAGCTATAAGGATCATGATTATCATTGAATATGGTCATTAATAATGATGATGATGATGATAATGATTACTATTCTTAAATTTGAATTGATCGCAGACATTCTCGTGGCATGTAATTTGAGACAGACCATAGTAATTTATTTTAACTATGTGTTTATGGCCCCGGGGTAGTCATAGTCTTTTGCTCCTCGGGGTATCGTCCGAGTAGTATTGTAAAGTAAATTTGTAAGTAGCGTAGCTTGTATTTATGTATTGTAACTTTTTAATGGATATAAAAAAAAATAATGATTACCAACTGAGTAATTGACAGATTGATTGCAATGAATTATTGATATTATCAATATCAAACACAATACGTACTTTATTTTGTCAATACTGCCCCTCTTGTAAGTGATCACAAGCAACTTCTGAAACATCTTTGAAGTGACGTAAGCATGATAGCCATCAGCGGTTTTCAGGAATGCAACTCTACTGGGCATAAACTTGGGAAGTGGGATGCTTCTAAGCCTCTTAATTTTTCTGGTGTCCTTCTCCATGTAGTATGTTATAATCTTTAGACGAAAGCATAGAAGATAATAGTTAGCTAAAATGTAATGAAGATTATTGCAATTAAGAGTGCATTAATCTACCTAAGTCCATGAAACAATAAATGGAGAGATACAAGATTCAAGTTGACTCTTTCACACATAGAGACTAAACTTATATATTTAAGATGCCAGCTACCGTTGAATGTAAGGAGGTTCACCCCATGTTATTTTTTGGCCACTCCCCTTACTCATTACTTTAGCGCTTTATATATCTAACAGTGTTGTTTTTCCAAAACAAATCTAAAACATGATCTACCAGTGCCCAGTTCGTTTTTATCAATTTACAAACCAGTGCATTAATCGAGCCCAGTGAGGGAAGAGTTATCTCTCCCTTTTTTTTGGCGCCACCACTGATTTTTAACTAGAAATGCCAAAAGCACAGACAACAAAGTTAAACAGCAAATATTGCTAATGTCAAAACTGCACCTCTCTAGAAAGTTCGAAAAAGAATATACCAGGCTAACGAACAGTTTGTATACATAAATATATATACAGTTCACCTTAACCACACTGTTGTACGGTTTGAAAACAGTATAAACATTCTTATACAGTAGTGTCCCGCATATAAGGAAAACATTTTTTTGATTTCAGGTCTGATATATTTCTTATAAAATGAGATATACACTTAAAATCAGAGTGATGTTTCTTATACAAAAAAGCACATTATACTTTTGATATTCTAGTCAGACACATCTCGAAATGATTGTGATGGTAATACCTTAATGAGTTGTATTTGTAATTTTTCACTTTTAGGAAAGGCTACAATTATTCCAGAAAAGTGCTTTTTGCTTAGTTTGCATTCAAAATTCTTTTTCATTTGACTAGGCTCAGTTTGATTAAATTGGAAAGCTGAAAACAAACAGTTCTTATGGTCAATAATTGTAAACCCCCACTTATCCTTTTATTCAAATAACTGACAAAATAGTAAGTTTAGAATGATAATGTTTTGTTCTATTTTTCAAATGATTAAGTTATATGATAATTTTTGAATAAGAAACAAGCATTTTTCCATACCTTCACCAGTTTCTTATCGAAGGTGTCAATTTTTTTAAAATCAGGGTCTGTGTTTCTTAAATTTGTATTCCTTATATGCGGGACACTACCGTATCATTATTATTATTATTATTATTATTATCAACAAACCTGTCTCTTGTTCAGAACGAGGACATATTTGCCATCAGGCGAAGCAAAGGGAGACCCAGTTGCTTTGTCTGTGATCGCGTCGGCGGCATGAATCACGGCGTCTCGTGTCAGATCGACGACAACCATCATTCTCTGCCTATGCCCTCTTAAAATTCCAAGACACTGTACGAAAGCGTAGTTTTTAACCGAAGAGTACGCCAAGCCGAATGTCGATTTGCAGCCATACATTGATGTATTAATAAACTTGGCATACATTTTTTTCGCTAAATCAATCTTGTGGATTCCTGGCTCATTAAAGTGGGTGACAACGCCATATTGGATATTCCGGTTGATATTCTGGCAGTTTTCAGCTTCAAAATATCCATGCATTACATCCTTGTATGAATCAGCAACCTACAATAATAATAATTTGCAGATAATCAGGGAGGGGGGAGATTTATTGGCAAAGTAGTCTCGGAAAAGAAAAAGTGAAAAAGTGAGAAAGGTTGCTGCATCACCAAATCATTTCTTCTTTAACATTTAGGACAAAACATTTTAATGATGTCCATCTCTTGGTCAACTTGCTGAAGTTCAGAGAGACAAAATTGTATTTTTTTAAGTCTTTTTGTAACTGAAATAAACGAGTTCTTTCCAAATGCCTCGTGACGTTTGAAGAAAAATGCCTTTATCCTCGCAAAAGCAGGATGGTTAACCATAAAAATTTACCGGTTTAGGAATAAACTGATGTAAAACAGACATATATCTAGTTGGGTCATTCCCACACATTAGACGAAAGCTTTCTTGAGCACCAAAATGGACCCGAGAAAACCGATTCAGGAAATCGGTTAAAAAACAACCGACCACAGTGAGTGCGAACTTTTCAAAGTCGTTAAAGGATGACATCACACAAATCTATTTTTAACATTTTCTAAACATTTTGAATTGGAATCGAAGTTGAGAGAGCATCATGATAAAAGTATGAAATCATTTAAAGGCAATCCATAGTTACTAAAGCGGCTTAACCTACCTGTCAATCAATATAAGCCAATTAGCCAATCCATAAGAGTGTGAGTGATATCACCCTCGCTGATTGGCCAATTCTTGATTGACAGTGGTTGAAGCCACTTAAGTATCTGTCGAATTCCTTTAAGATGTTCCAAATTGACTGAGATATGGCTTTCTTTTGCTCGGTATATGTAGTATAAATTCTTAATCTCAAGTACCTGTGCCTTGATGCTATGCGAAACAATCAACGAGCTGGCATTTTTGATAGTCTGTATAGCCGTTGCTCCTTCCCTGCTTCCAACAACATCCAAATAGCTGTTTTTCCAACAGTGGATCCAGACCTCATCTAGGGCAGTAATATACTTCAGCATATAAGGAAAGCCATTTGTTTGAATGCTGCTCACTGGCTTGGCTTCTTTAGCGTCCAGGACGATAACGCGGTTCCCATAACTGTCTGCCACAAACACGAATCTACCTGGAACAACAGCTGCGCCTCCCCAGCCGCAAGCGGATTTATAGCGAGGGCTTCTTGTGCAGAGAGGTTTGTCAGTGCCAGGAACAGCCATGTCATGTGGAAGTCTTTTAACGACATTCAGGTTTTTCGCATTGATAATGTCAATGCCATTGTCAGTGAGAGCGTAAAACACCTAGAAAAAAGGCCACCGCTTTCAATTGTAAACTCACCGAAACCGAAGGTTGCTTCTAGAAAAGGGGGTTTTGCATTCTTAGCAGATCAGGTTTTAATTTAACGTGCCTACAGGCACGAACGTGCCTCGTCGACCAAAATACGTGCTTGTCGGTTTGAATGGCGCGCCTCGACTTTTCATGCAGCTCGAACACTAAATGTTTCGTGGTTATGATCGCTGATATATTCCATACTGTTGCAGAAACGGCCAAATATAACGAAAACATAGGAAGACAAATCTCAAATACACTCTTTTCTTTTTATAAGGACAATTTTATAAGAACAAGACTGAGCTTCTGCAAAATGCAATTCGGAACAACGTTTTATCTCAAAAATGAGGGTTTTTGGTCATTGTGTGGGTGCTTTTTCGGCGAATATTAAAACTTGTCGGCAAATGAAGGTTGTTTCACTCACTTTGTTGGCAGCTGAACACCTCCCCAGCGCGAAAAAGCTAGCAATTACACTGCTTACACTCTATTAATATAAGCAAAATTTAAGAACAATCCAGCCTCAGATTTTCGAAAAAGAAATAAGAGCAGTCAGCCTGAACTTAAAATTACTGGTTCTTATAAAAAAGAGTGTATACAAACTGTCATTCAAAAGCACAGTTTTAGTTGAACAACGTGAATAGTTGTAAGGTTACACTGCGATACCCAACAGCAGCCTGGGCCCAAGTACCAAAGTCTAAAACAGCTTTTTGTGATGTTTTAAAACTAGAGCCGCATCTTATTCTAATCAGCAGGTCAAATTACACCAGGAAACAATGATGGCTTAGTATTTTTTACTCAGTTTTGCAAGACCTTTTTGATAAAATTATCAGATTTGAAAAATTCTAAGGTCAAAATTTTGCTGACCAGGCATGTTTCACGCTTTCTGAAACATCACTTCTTGAAACAAGACTTAAAATGATCAGTGGCCTTTACTTTCATGACTCAAACTTTAAAAATTTCGGTTAGGCAGTTTGATAGATGGTTATGCAAAATTCCCTGTTTCTTATGCAGGGTTATAAACGAAATTACGGACTTGTCGTCACATTTAGCTAAGCAGTGCTCGTCCAAAAACCGTTAAATTAATCCCTGTAGCAGATTGGGGGTATCTGTAGTTGGGATATCACCAGAAACAAACACCAAATTGTAACGTTTTGCCTAGAAAAGTGCGCACTGTGGTATTTCAAGGATTATGTATTGGGTATAATTCGATGTCTTGTGTTTACAAAGAAATTTGTGATGGATGCAAACATCAGGATGCTTAGAGCTGAGACAGTTTTATACATCGACGTTTAAAATAACTGCGAAGGTGCCTTGTCTCTCCACCTGCACAAACAGCGCCTCAAAGCTACAAAGAGATAAGAAACGAGTTCATACCCCTGATGACTCGGCTGAAGCAACCAACAAGACGGCAAAAAGAGCTACCGCGTACATCTTTAAACCTAGAAAACAAATAAAATCCAGTCAAAGCTGCAGAATAACACACACAAAGGCGAAAAATTTCACAAGAAAGATCGATTGCTGAAGTCGAAAGTTGCGCTTCAGTTCAAGCCTGACGTCAATTCCGTTTCCCTTGGCCAAAAAATTCAAACATCGAAAGCAATGACTTACCTGTTCTATCTCGGTCCAGCTTGTGAGTTTGTTTTCACGAGCTCTGAGCTGTATTTATATCAAAGTTAACAGGAAGTAAATAAAAATATCATCTAGGAAGCAAATCTTTGAATGACTAAAAACTTTTGTCCCAGAATCCTGTGGTCAGGAAGACAGCTATATGAAACCTTGCGTTCATATTTCATTGTTCGTTGCCTTGGTAAAATGTTGCCTCGTCACGTATAATGTGTCCACGGTCTTGGCGTTCTCCAACATCTCTTACTTTTTCCCAGATTGCAAAGGCATAAAAACTGAGATGATCATGAACTCAAGTTCAAAACATATATCGACCTCATAGAGCTCAAGTCTCTTAAATAAATTCTTCCTAGCTATGGGAAATAATTTATTGCTTTCCATCATAAAAATGTGTTGCTTTCCATTTTCACGTATCTGCGATGGAGTTTAGAAAGAAACCCCCGACTGCCCAAGGCAGTTTTTAGAGCGGTGTCCTCTACCCTGCCCCCTGATATGTAACTGACTTAGAATTGTTGAGGTCCTATCTTGGCGGAAAGCCATCTACTCGAATTTCCAGGAGCAGAGACACGTAAACAAGCTACAAGGATACCAGGAGTTGCTTTTTTGGAACTGAAAAAAGTTCTGCAGTGTGCGACCCTCTACTAAATCTTTGAAAATGAAAGGCGCAGTCAATGGGGGATAGTGTTGTGAAAACTGAATTCTGCATTTCACTAACATACTTGCAGTTTTTTTTCAATTGTTTCTTCTAAAGATTGCTTGGCCGGTTTCAGAATTCACATTTCGGCAACATTAAATAGCAACCCCAGTACCTGTGTCATACAGGAACCGGTGCCTGATTTTTTCGATTAGATACGGGGGCTCACAGGGGTCTTAGGGGACAAGGTTACTTTACAAAATGGTATGGGAGAACGCGGACGTTGGTTGTTTTTCATAGGAACATGTACCCCCTGGGAGACATTCATAGAAAGCACGTGCACAGCCAACATTCATGCAACAGGACAAAACACGTGATCTTCGCGAACTGTATTATTTATCTCAGACGAAAATCTTCCGGTTGATCGGAAATTTTGCAAAGCATCAACCTTATTAAGCCTTCCTTGTTCCGAAAAACAATCTCAGGTCTTCTGTAAATTTAAACTTTTATTTAATTTGGACATGTTTATCATAAAGTCCTTTTTGGTCTACAATCGTACTCTCCGGAGAAAGGTTGGACAGTAACTTGCACGGGGTGGGTTTCACAACTTCACATAATCCTTTGGACATGCGTGAAAACTGGCTTAGATCAGGGCCTTAATTCATTGAAAGCTGGAATGTAGTTTTGAATGACAAAGCAGCAGATGACAAAATATATCAAAGTTTCCTTCTCAATCAAATATAAACAGTTTTGAATGTTTACTGAATAAGAAATTTTGGTTAGAAAGGCTGAAATTTAGGCACAAGTTTGGGGGTTCAATGTCCGAAATTTGGTTCTCCTGCGAAAGGGAAAATTCTTGTCACCAACAGGCCTACATATCTGTATTCATGACCTTATGCACTCTGCAACAGACCACCTCGGCATCGCGCACTATTCTGCAGCTGCCTTAGTTACTTGTTTATATGACCCATGCTTCTATAAAATCGTGGATGAAAATAAACGTGAAACAACATGGAGACATATCATCAGAAAAAAGAGAAAATGCATTTAAAATCCATCTCGAATCTCATAAACGTGGCAATAAGTTGGCATTACTCATCGCAAGAAGAAAGCTTTCTGCAATTCTTATATACGTCTTTAAGTCTCTTTTTACAGATGTCAACAAACCTGTCTACGAGTAACTAATTTAAAAGTGTAATGGGGGTGAAAGGGAACTAGGCGTAGGCCACAAACTTTGAAAACATTTCACTTTTTACTGGAACTTCGGTACAAAGGAAGCCTTGTATTCAAGGTTTCTTCTAGAATAACACAAAAATAGTATCTTTAAATATAGAGACAAGCTCTTTGAATTGTAGATTTTGTAAGTCTAAACATGTAACGGTAGATGTGTTTATGCACAGGCAGATCTTCCACTGTTTTCCGTTTACATACTAAAAATAAAATATATCCATTTTGCAAAGATCACTTTGCAGGCAATGTCGTGACATGCTTTAAAAGGTTCGCAGGTAGCGACCAAAAACGATATAGAGAGTAGGCTAGTTTTTTTAAAAAAGTTTCAAACAATTGCCAAAGTTGGCTTGACGCTGTGAAGTACGAACGATATTATTCTAAAAGACACCAATAAAACTGTAGCAAAGAGAACGAACTCAAACCCAAATGCAAATTTAAAAAATCGACGTGAGTGTTCTTTCCCACCACGAAGCTACAACGCACGTGAAAGTAAAACAGAAGATTTGAATAAAGCTTTTGGGTTGAAAGCACCAAATAATTGTAAAGCTAAGTATAAATTAACATAAATTAGCATAAATTAACCTAAATCGTATCCTAGATCAACTGGCCACATCAGCAGTGTTACTGTCTGAGGGTTTTTTTCGCTTTCTTGATAGTTCTTCTAGACACGCCGACACGGCGGACGACGCTTCCGAAGCAGACATCGCCGATGGCACAAGCCTCGTCTCATAGGTCAGAATTACCCTGCAGAAGAAATTGAAGAAAAATTTAGAAAATGAAGCAAAAATATAATAAGAACCTTAGATCATTGTATTCCGTATTTACGAGACATTTCATCGTTCTCACCCTTGATTCTCCGATTCCCCTTAACTTCCCTTAATTAGAGACAAAAACAAGGCCAGTCTACTTACTTTCTCCCATGCGGTGAGTTACGAGCGATATTCCGGAGTATAAGCGCTGCAGTAAGGCGGACGGTTCGAGTAACCGGTGATTCGTCTTCTCTCTAAAAAACAAGGCAGAGCAAATAACATCAAAACGTAAAACATTATCTTGGGTGTGTCATCTTCAGAAATCAAAATTTCATATCAATGTAGCAGCAAGTTCAGAAATCAACAAACAAGAAAACCTGATTTCCTTCGTTCTAAGTATCCTCTAACGAGCAATAGCCGTGACTCTGCTAACACAAAACAATTCTTAACACTTTCTACAAATGACAAGTTGGTAGCCATGAAAAAGACATGATTTCAGTTAACTAATGCTATAACCCCACTGGTCGTTTTCGAGCTAAAAAGAAAACTCAACGCACGGCCATCTTAAAGGCATTACCATAAATCTGCGAATCGCCCCCTCGAAAAAGGCTCCCCCCCTCGAATAAGCCCCCAACCTAGAACTACAAATTGTCAATAAGCGCCCTCCCCCTTGAAAAAGCCCCCAATGCTGCTATAAATCTTCGAATTGGCCCCTCTCGATTTGTCGATTGTTGCTTTCTAAGGTTGCCTTTGATGTTTTATCGTATTACCACAAAAAAACATACTTTTGGTAATAATTAATTGAAATTTAATAAAGAAATTCCCACTAAAATATACGAGGTCTTTCATTGATGTCTTCTTGAAGTCTATTATAATTTTATAGGCCCCCCACGAACAAGCCCCCCTTGAATAACCCCATCAAAAAACCCCAGGGGACTAATTCGAGGATTTACGGTATGCATAGAAACAATTTCCTGTACAAAACCTATAAATCATTAGACTGCTTTCAGATCATGGAAATCCAACTCTTGAGCATCTACCCCACCCCACTCCCCTCCCCTCCCCGGTAAAACTATAATGTTCTCGAACAACTGTAGCCAACAAGCTCAGGCAACCGTACAATAGCAACTCAATCCAAAACAGTATTCACCCTTACCTCAATATCAACAACTTTTGGAAAGAGCAACTGTGGTAAGGTCACCTGCTCATCATCGTGAACGGTAGACGTATTGCAGTGAACTTGCTGTAAAAACATGAGGTAGAAAGCTGTCATTAGTCAATTTATATTAGCAGGCAATAGGATTTTTTGAATCAATAACAGGAAAGCAGAGATTTGAGAATGAGACTGCAAATGAAGACAACCTACATCGTAAAATTCTTGCTAATGGTAGGTGAATAGTTTCTGACTGTAGAATGAAATCTTACTCACGTTGAAATGACAGATCATTGATCCCCGTGGCCTCTGAACAGGTTTACACCCAGCTACTTTGCAGGCCTTCATGCTACCTTCTTGAGGGGCGTGACTGAACACCATGTGTGCAAGCAGGTCATTCGAGGTGGCAAAAGAGCTGCAAGGAAAGAAAATTGTGTAATCATTCAAACAACAGAAAATGGCCGCTGCAAAAAGTCCCATTAAATCTTACCTATGATTTCATTACCGTAAATCCACGAATTAGCCCCCTGGGGGCTTATTTATTTTTGATATTTTTGGACGGAGGCTTATTCGAATGGGGGCTTATACGGGGGGGGCTTATAAAATTATTGTAGGCGTTAAGAAGACATTATAAAAAGATCGTGTTTATTCTAGTAGGAATTTCTTTATGAGCATTTAATTAATTACTACCAAAAGTACGAATTTGTCGTGGTAATTCAATAAAACGCCATAGGCGACCTTAGATGGCAAAATCATCAAATTGAGGGGTCCAATTCGATAATTTACGGTAGCAGTGGGGCTTATTCGAGGGGGTTTCTTATTGACAATTTGTAGCTCTAGGGTGGGGGCTTATTCGA